TTTTTTTTTTTTTTTTTTTTTTTTTTTTTTTTTTTTTTTGGAAAACTAGCTATCAAATCATTTTTAAAATCTAATTTTTTTAGTACTACTGTTTAGGAATGTATTAAACATCCTAGATTAAATTTATTGTAATTAATAAAAAGGAAAAAGGTGATAATAATATAATAGTCAAAGAACATGGAGGGAGGAGGGATCTTTCGAAGTGTTTTGTCTTCTGAAAGTACCTTCTATTTTAATTCAATCTCTGACTTCAAAGGGTTGCCTTGCTACAAGTCTTCGGTCTTCAGGGCGAAGGTTTTTAAGCTGCCACAACGCTGGGGCTGAGCTTTTCAATAGAGGCTGCCGGTGATGGCTGACGACAAAGGGGCGATTGTGATGGTCAGCAGAGGCAGAGAGCGGGATCTAGAGCTTCTAATTCCGACCGCCGGCTCGCCAAATGACGATGACTCTTGCAAGCCCTCGTCCTCTTCAGCGTCATCGCCGCAGACTGGCCGTGAGGTATTGTTGACTTTGTTTCAATTTAATACGCTTGAGTCCTTACCACCAAATCGTTGGAAGCTACTTAGTGATATTGCTTATTGTTCTATTGAAATATCTGTGTAGCAGTGTATTTAGGATCGGTCTGGCTTCTTGCTAAGTAGTTCAATCACTTGCAATCATTTTTCTCTTCTTCTTCTTCTTCTTCTTCTCCTATATCTCTGTTGATTCTCATACTAGTTGTTTCCTGGCGGATTGCCTATTGGATCATGAGGTGATCCGTATTTACTTATATTCACTCTACCGAATTTTGTACATTAGAAATTGTAAAAAAGTGGAATTAGCAAGGTGCTTCTGCACTGTAGGTCATCAAATCAATATTTCTGAGATTCATGCCCGCAATTGGCTTCCTCTCAACGACGGAGTTACTTATGAGATTAGACGATGGATGGAACTGTAGCTGGACAGTTGAATGCACTTATACCCGTTAGATGGTCCAAAGAAAATCTCCAATCGGCTCTCCTGGTCGGTGCGACCCCTGAAATCTAAGTAATGAAGATGTTGATCGTTCCATCCATTGCCATTATAGCAATTGGTGGCCTTTTCTTTCATCCTTTTGGCATCCTTTGGTTGTCTCATATGTATATTTCAGAGGCCTTGTGGTCGCTCTTGCTTAAGTTTTAAAAAAGCACTCTGTTGGAACCCAAACAATCGAAATAGTATGAAATATGAAAGATAAATGACCATAAGACAATCCAAGTACCCTGAGGTACTTGGACTCTTCATCTCTTGAGCACTCTTGCTCAAGCTTTGAGTAAACTAAACCAATGCATATCTTCCTCCTTTCCCACTCCCTCTATCTATAACAAATTTCCATAAAAACTTCTCCAACTAAGTACTAAGATACCCCTCTAATACCCTAATCATACTCCTAGTCCTATCCTAATACTACCCCTATCACACTTCTCAAAGAGTTTGATCAATCGGCTATCCTTTTTAAAAAGTTGCAGATGGAGTGTTACTTACTTTAGAATGGATATTAAAAAGTCGCATCTCTTGAGTGTTTAGTTTATGTTCTGAATTCTTGCCATGAAGTAAATAATATAGTTGGAATGGCTATGTATATGTACCTCACTACCTTCAATATCTGATGAAGAATGTTAGTTTCTTTTTTTCCTTTTTTGGCTTTACTATCATATAAAATTGGAATTGCTAGTTACTTGTTATTCTGAACATCAATCAGTGTTTATTTTCTATCGCCAATTGTGGGTTCAATTATCTATTTTATTTATTGTGCAGACATTTTACATTGTCTTTAGGAGCTGGGCCTCAAAAAAGTTCATGACCGGATGGTTTGATCTTTATTCTTATCTCTGTATTTTAGTTTAGTTTATGATTTTGGTGCTTCGTAAAGGATAGCATATAAGCTACAGTTGATTTAGGTAGAACTTCTTGCATATACGTTGTAGCCATCGTTACAAAAATTGAACTTCCAGGCTGCTGTTTGAAAACTGCACTTAAAAAATTTGCTTTTTTTTTTTTTTTTTTTTTTTTTTTTTTTTTTTTTTTTTTTTTTTTTTTTTTTTTTTTTTTTTTTTTTTTTTTTTTTTTTTTTTTTTTTTTTTATAAATGGAATTGAGATTTTTCCTTTACTCAGAAAATATATTCGGCAGGAAGATAGGTCTTAAAGTGTAAACAGTATTTAGTTGTTTTCGACCAGGATTCAAATTGCAGTTTTTTGTCATTGTGCTAGGTAATTACGATGTTTTAATTTCTTAACATGTTGCGATCTGGCTGTTTTGCAGCGTTATTCTATTTCCAATTGCAATAACTTTCTATATAACATGGTGGTTTATACACTTTGTGGATGGATTCTTTTCTCCTATCTATGCTCAACTTGGAATTGATATCTTTGGTAAGCAATCCTTATCACTTAACGTTTTTTGCGAACCCATTCAATCCATGTGCTATTTTTTTATATGTATTTGATCTACTATCGACACAAGTGAGTATTGTTATTTTTTTCCACCAATCTCTGTTTTCTTTGCTTACTCATATATTAACTATGTAGTATTGTAAGATTGTATATAAATATTAGTTCTCATCTTGCCAAATGATTGATGTCTGTTCAATATAACAAACCTATTAAATTTTATATTTCATTTCTTTTTTCTTATCATAAGCTTATTCTTGTTTCTTGATTAGGTCTTGGATTTGCAACATCTGTTTCATTCATCTTCCTTGTTGGGGTGTTCATGTCATCATGGTTGGGTGCTTCTATTTTGGCTCTCGGAGAGTGGTTTATCAAGCGCATGCCATTTGTTCGTCATATTTACAATGCTTCTAAGCAGATTAGTTCTGCTATTTCACCAGGTACAGCTTTTTTAAGTATATTTAAACACGGTCAAGTTTATTTATGAACCATCTATATTCTTGTCGCTACCTGTTAGATCAAAATTCCAGAGCCTTCAAGGAAGTTGCCATCATTAGGCACCCCCGTATTGGTGAATATGCATTTGGGTTCATTACTTCAACTGTCACCCTCCAGGTATGCTATTTTGTGCTTCAATTTTTTATAGTACTATTTTTCCTAGGAAGAATTTAGGCATTACTTTGGGTAATTCGTGCACATATATATTTGATCTCAAAGACCACAGGACCATGTTCTGGTATGTAAACAGTGAACACGATAAAAGGTATTGATGTTATTTGAAGTAGAAAATTCAGATCTTTTTATTGAACATGATTGCAAATAGATTTGATTTTGAGCTTTATTATATACACGACTGATTTGATTTATATTTAGCTGGTTTTAGAACCTTTACAAACATTTGTTACATGACATTCTAGCATTACATATATGTAGCTGACTTTTTAATTGCAAGTGTCATTGCAAACTTGGTCTATAAGAAGAGGCAACTTCAACCAATAATACCCTTATACCACATGCACGCTCGTTGTTCATCTTGAGCGTGAATATCATTGACAGTTGTTAGGTATACAAATATGTTTTATCCAATGATTCATGTCCTCATACCCTAATTTTGTAGAAGATGATGTATTGCTTTCATATTGTTGTGCCATGTTTTTCATATCTTCTTCTTAGGTTTGTATTGTTATAAGGGTTTATTGTGTTTTTATGGTTCTTGTGAATATCATTACATGTTTTTCATAACTTGTAATGCACAAGTGCTGGAAGGCTTGATATTATGATCAACCGATTTGTTCCCCCTGAGTGCAGAATTATTCTGGAGAGGAGGAGCTGTGTTGTGTATATGTTCCCACCAATCATCTTTACATTGGTGATGTTTTCCTAGTCAACTCTGAGGATGTGATTAGACCAAATTTATCAGTTCGGGAAGGAATCGGTGAGTTTTTCTTTTTATGTCGTTACGTCCAGAATCAAATGGACAGTTTTTCTTGAATTACACGTGGACCAAAATCCCTCCATTTCTTACTCTAATTCTTTTTATTGTAGAAATCGTTGTGTCTGGAGGCATGTCAATGCCACAGATTCCATCCATACTGAATCCACATATTCGACCAATTGACAGTAGAAGAATGACTAGAAGCTGAGACTGAAGATTGTGTCATTGCAGGCCGCTAATCCATATACGATCTTGGTGTACCAATGTAGCTGTCGGAGTAGTTGCTCTGGCTCCTGGGCATCAATACCCTTAGACGGTAAACCGTAACTTATAATATAAATTTAATTCTGGTTGTTGAATTTGATGTCAATCATTTGTTGGATGGGGGTGAGAATACTTGTTGATCCAGGATAGAAATGGGTGTGCATTAGAATTTTTAACTTCATTCTAATTCAATCGAGAATGTATATTTTCTTCTTGATGAGTTGCGTTATTCTATTGCATCAGATGTATATTTGAGCCTGTACTTATGTTGCAGCAACATTTCTATGTTTCCACTGATCTATGAAGAGCTAGCTAGCCCAAGTGCCTGTATGCCTGTATTCTTGTATGTTTTAAGAGATAATTAGATGTTGAAAAGGAGAAGATAACTAGGTTATTTTTAAACCGTGAACAGATGGCGAACGTCTTTACGAGGGAATGCGTGCATTATGAGACCAAGCAATTCGAGATTAAAAAAAATAAGTAAATAAATAAGCTAAAAAATGAAGTAATTTGAAAACAGTTCATGTTATTGTTCAAAACTGATTATTTGAAGTAATCTGAAACCAGGAAGGAACGTTAAACAATGCATATATTATTAAAAAAAATTAAAATTATTTATTATTTTTGTAATTTATAAAAAGTTAAAATTTAGCTATTATAATTTTAAAAATTATATGATAAAGCTTCATAAATAATTCAACCTTTGACAAAATGTCATAAATAGTGAATATAAATATTCTAATTGACGTTTTTTAAATGTTAAAATGAAATTTATTCGTGATATTGGAAGCATAATTTATTCTTAAATTTTCACCTATTTTTTTAGAAAGAGTAAATCTTAATATCGACGTCACTTTAATTTATGAATATACCTAGTTATTTATAGGTCAATTATTTAAATCGCATCTCTCCGTTCATTTACATCCAACGGCTAATAGAGATTTCAGGCTGCGGGTGACTTCTCATGTTAAAATGCACCCTCACGTAGGTTAGTACAACTCATTCAAATCAAGGAAAACCCTAGCCGTGAGGCTCCTTCTTCCTTCCTATAAGAGGACCTATTCTGCCTCCATCTCTAAATCGTCTTCCCGCCTGTTTATCGTGATCCGTAGTTGGGTTTCTTCATTCTGTTTCTTTCATTTTGATCTCTTCTTTTCCAATTTCGTTCGATTTCTTTCGAAACCGAGGGGGACGGTGACGATTGTCATGTTTAAGGTCTCGTTCGTCGTAACTGGCTGTGTGAAATGGCCTTGACGACCATCCTGATATATCACCACCCATATTCTGAGTCCCTTTGTTTTATTATTTCTTTACGCTCTCTTGTGTTTGATTCAAACGGTTTTGATCTTTCGTACGAAAATTGACAGTTTCTTCAATTTCAGTTGGCCGATGATTAAATATTTTTATTGACAAGCATATGTCTGAATTCATGCCTGTTGACATCTCTAATCTTCTCTATGAGGCCATTCGCGATAGATCCTTTTGGTTGTTAATTGTTCTTGAGTTTTTGATAATAAAATGTTTGTTTATTCTGGCTTTTCAAAACGACGGATTTTCTTTGAAAAGCTTGAATGCTGCACCCGTCTATGATGAAGGATATTGTATTCGTACTGCATGATCTTGCGTGATTACAATTACATCTACTGCCTTCCTTCTGAGCCTTTAGGTGTTTAACTTTCGATGTTTTGTTCGCATGTTTATTTTCGGTAATATAATACTAAGTCTTTGATTTAAATCTGTAAAGATTATGGGTCATATGATGATTATATGCATAGTTCAAATGATTGTATTGTGATTATACATCTTTTTAGTCTTTCGCTCCTATCTGATGACCCTATTTTTGAGCTATAATAGCTTTAGTATTAATTGAATATATTTTTATTTTGTCTTAAAATCGGTGTTCTTGCCTTCAGTTTTTGTTGGTTTATTTTTAAGCCGACGATTTTTTGTGCATGATAGTACGAAATCCTAGCATAAAGCATTAAATCTGTTTTTCAACCAACATGCATTAGTTTTTAAGCTTTTTAGTTTTTTGGGCATTCCAAAAGAGAAATCTGCTTGAATATCGTATGATGCTGATGGATGAGAGGACATGAAGTTGTAATCCATTTCAGTTGATGATTTGTATGAGATGGTTTACGGTGTTGACTAGCTTTTCTCTTACTTAATCTGTTATCCTACGACTCCTTTAGGAATATAATCTGGATTTTTGTATTGATTATGAAAACTTATTTTTGAGAGGGGTCACGTATATTACGAACTCACTCTTAAATCTCGAATTTCTAATATTTCTTTACAATTGGATATTAGGTTAGCTCTCTTAGTAAAATTTTATTATTGGACGGCTGCTTACACTATTCATATTAATCACGATTTGGATTAATCTTTTCTCCATATACATCTCTAGTAATGAATAAAGAATTCACACTCGAGGTGTTGGGAGAGTATAGAATGAGGCGCATGACTTGAACAAGGACTATCAGATTTATGGTATTTGCCTTTTCTTTTTTATCTTAATTTTTTCCCATTAAATTTGATTTATTTTTATACCGAGGGGGACGGTGATGATTGTTATGTTTAAGGTCTCGTTCGTCGTAACTGGCTATGTGAAATGGCCTTGACGACCATCCTTATATTTGAGTCCTTTTTTTTTATTTTTTTTATTTGAACTTCTGTGTTTGGTTCAAACTGTTTTTGTCTTTTATACGAAAATTTGTAGGTTCTATCGTTTGAGTTGGCCGGTGATTAAATATATTTATTGACAAGCATATGACTGAATTCATGCCTGTTGACACTCTTAATCTTCTCTATGAGGCCGTTAATGCTAGAATTTTTTGTTGTCAATTGTTTTTGAGTTTATGAATATAAAATGTTTTTCTGATTCTGTATTTTCAAAACCAACTGATTTTCTTCATTAAACTTCTATGATGAAGATTTCGGTATTCGTACTGTATGAAGAATCGTGTTTACAAATACCTCTACTGCCATCCTTTTCCAGAGTCTAATGTTGTTGAAGAAGTGGACTTTGATGATCTATACCGCTATCAAGGCTTGAAGTGGATTAAAACATTCTTCGGCATTCATGTCAGCTCCCCCCCCCCCCCCCCCCCCCCCCCCCCCCCCCCCCCCCCCCCCCCCCCCCCCCCCCCCCCCCCCCCCCCCCCCCCCCCCCCCCCCCCCCCCCCCCCCCCCCCCCCCCCCCCCCCCCCCCCCCCCCCCCCCCCCCCCCCCCCCCCC